AAGTGACTAACTTCTTAGAATCGACTGAGGGACTTCAGCTCTTAGCTGTGTTTTTCTATCCCTTATCTTTCAACATCATGTCTACAATCAGGTGATTCTGAAGATATTTCCAATGTTAATGGGATCTTATTGAATAATCTTTTTATTTCCTGAAAAGAATGGAACTCCCCCCCTCACCCTGAAAAAAAAAAGCACAGAAAAGCAAACAAAAGAAATTTAAAAAAAGGAAAAATTGTTTTCATAAAAGTAAAGATACAAGTTTGGCCTTGGAGTATAAAATGAAGTAGGACAAAGTGTAATTAGTTTTGTCAAAAGAACACACTGGTCATAGCAAACAACCTTTTACAACAATACAAGAGACAACTCTATATGTGAACATCACCAAATTGTCAATACCATAATCATATTGATTATGTTCTTTGCAGCCAAAGATGGGGAAGCGCTATACAGTCAGCAAAAACAAGACATGGAGCTGACTGTTGCTCAGGTCATGAGCTGCATTTTGCAAAATTCAGGCTTAAATTGAAGAAAGTAGGGGAAAACCACTAGCTATTCAGGTATGACCTAAATCAACTCCCTTATGATTAGACAGTGGAACTGACAAATGGATTCATGGGATTAGATCTAATAGATAAAGTGCCTGAAGAAATATGGAAAGAGGTTCTTGTAGAGTAACATTGTAGAGGAGGCAATGACTGAAACCGTCCCCAAGAAAAAGAAATGGAAAAAAGGCAAAATGGTTGTCTGAGGAGGCCTTACGAATAGCTGAAGAATGAAAAGAAGCCAAAGGAAAATGAGAAAAAGAAAGATATATCCATCCAAATGCAGAGTTCCAAAGAAGAGCAAGGAGAGATAAGAAAGCCCTTTTAAGTGAACAGTGCAAAGAAATAGAAGGAAACAATAGAATGGGAGAAACTAGATACCTTTTCAAGAAAACTGAAGATATCAAGAGAACACTTCATGCAAGGATGGGCGAGATAAATGACAGAAACGCCATGGACCTAACAGAAGCAGAAGAGATTAAGAAGAAATGACAAGAGTGCACAGAAGAACTTTACAAGAAAGGTCTTAATGACCCAGATAACCACAATGGTGTGGTCACTCACCTAGAGCCAGACATCCTGGAGTGTGAAATCAAGTGGGATTTAGGCAGCATTGCTACAAATAAAGCTGGGGGAGGTGATGGAATTCCAGTTGAGCTATTTCAAATCTTAAAAAGTGATGCTGTTAAAGTGCTGCACTCAATATGCCAGGAAATTTGGAAAACTTAGAAGTGGCCACAGGACTGGAAAAGGTCAGGTTTCATTCCAACCCAAAGAAGGACAATGCCAAAGAATGTTCAAACTATAAGTTGTTCTCATTTCGCATACTAGTAAGTTTATGCTCAAAATCTTTCAAGCTAGGGTTCAACAACATGTGAACTGAGAAATTCCAGATGTACAAGCAGGGTTTAGGAAAGGCAGAGGAATGAGAGACCAAATTGCCAAAATTTGTTGGATCACAGAGAAAGCAAGGGAATTCCAGAAAAGCATCTACTTCTGCTTCATTGACTACACTAAAGCCTTTGACTGTGTGGATCACAACAAACTGCTGAAAATTCTTAGAGATGAGAATACCAGACCACCTTATCTGTTTCCTCAGAAACCTGTATGTGGATCAAGAGACATCAGTTAGAATGGGACACAGAAAAACTGACTGGGTCAAAATTGGGAAAGGAATATGACAAGGCTGTATATTGTCACCCTGCTTAGTTAATTTACATGCAGAGTATATCATGTGAAATGCCAGGCTGGATAAATCACATGTTGGAATCAAGGTTGCCAGGGGAAATATAAACAATCTCAGATGTGCAGATGATACCATTATAATGCAGAAAGTGAAGAGGAACTAATGAGCCTCTTGATGAGGGTGAGAGAGTAGAGTGGAAAAGCTGGCATCAAACTAATCACTCAAAAAACTAAGAGCATGGCATCCAGTCCCATTACTTCAAGGCAGACAGAAGGGGAAAAGTGGAAGCAGTGACAGATTTTATTTTCATGGGCTCCAAAATCACTGCCTATGGTGACTGCAGCTATGAAATGAAAAGACACTTGCTCTTTGGAAGAAAAGCTATGACAATCCTAAACAGCATATTAAAAAGCAGAGGCATCACTTTGCTGCCAAAGATCCATAGAATCAAAGCTATGGTTTTCTAGTAGTCATGCACGGATGTGAAAGTGGGACCATAAAGAAGACTGAGCACAAAAGAATTATGCTTTTGAATTGTGGAGATTCTTGAGAGTCCCTTGGACTGCAAGGAGATCAAAACTATCAATCCTGAAGGAAATCAACTCTGAATATGCATTGGAAGGATTGATGCTGAAACTCCAATACTTTGGCCACCTGATGCGAAGAGCAGACTCATTGGAAAAGACTCTTGATGCTGAGAAAGATTGAAGTCACAAGGAGAAAGGGGCAGCAGAGGATGAAATGTTTCATTATCATCAGCAACTCAGTGGACTTGAATGTGAGCAAACTCCAGAAGATAATAAAGAACAGTGGGGCTGATGTGCTGCATTCCATGGGGTCTCAAAGAGCTGGACATGACTTAGCGACTGAATTACAACAAAAATGATATGAGAAGAAGGAAGAGGAAGGAATTAACTAATAAACTATGATTGAGTGAAAATTGATAGGTTTCAAAAAGAAATTTTACATACATCACAATTTTATCTAGCCACCTAGCCTAATGGCTAATTGCAGAACTGAGGTATGATATTGATAGTTGATATTTTAAAAGAGATTGCAACATATCTGTTGAAAGTGAAGGGAAAGTGTAAGTTGCTCAGTTGTGTCCAGCTCTTTGCAACCCCATTCTCCAGGCCAGAATGCTGGAGTGGGTAAACATTTCTGTCTTCAGGGGATCTTCCCAACCCAGGGGTCAAACCCAGGTCTCCTGCATTGCAGGTGGATTCTTTACCAGCTGAGCCACAAGGGAAGCCCAAATATCTGTTAGAATGACTAAATTTTAAAACACTGAAAACAGCAAATCCTGGCTTGACTGTGGAGCAACAGAAACTATTATTCATTGCTAATGGGAATGAAAAATGGTACAGCAATCTTGCAAGACAGTCTGGCAGTTTTTCACAAAGCTAAAGATCGTCCTATGAAAGATTCAACAATCACTTTCCCTGGTATTTACCCAAATGACTTGAAAACATGTCCACACAAAAACCTGAAAGTGGATGTTTATACAAGTTTTATTGCTATTTGTCAAACTTTGGAAGTAATCAAGGTGTCCTTCAAAGGGTGAATGGATAAATCATCTGTGGTACATCTAAGCAATGGAATATTTTCCAGCAATAAAAAGAAATGAGGTATCAAGCCATGGAAGGATATGGAGGACTCATAAAGACTTACTGCTAAGTGAAAGTAGTCAACGTGAAAAGGCTAAATACTGTTCAACATTCTTGAGAAGAAAAAACTAAGAAGACAGTCAAAAGGTTAGTGTTTCCTGGAGTTCTGAAGAAGGAGGGAAGAATAATTGGAGCATAGGAGATTTTTAGAACAGAGAAATTTTTCTGTATGATATTATAATAGAGGTCAGTGACATTATGCATTTGTCAAAACCCACAGGACAGTACACCACAGATTTTAATTAGTAATGTGTTATTATTGGTTCATTAATTATAATCAATATATCATATGATTCAAGGTGTTCAATAATGGGGGAAATTGTGTGTATGGGGGTTTACATAAGAATTCTGTATTTCCTGCTCAATTAATCTGTAAACTTAAAACTGTTCTTCAAATAAAATTTATTAATTAAAAAATGGTATTTTATAAGATAGGTATGTGTGTGAATAAACAGGAGATGGTGAATGTAAAGACAAGGAGGGAGATGTAACATGCCCTTTGGAGGTAACTTGGATGGATGACAAGCTAGAGAAGAGGATGACAATTTGAGAAGATAGCTTTTAATCTGCTTTTAAAGCAGAAGTTCTGAAATAAAGTTTTGATTACTGTGATTTGCAGTCAGTTTCTGAATAGTTTTATCCCATGATTGTCAAAGCACACGCAAGAGTACAGCACAAAGAATGAAGAGCAACCAATGGATTTTAATTAATACTTATATGTCAGTATTGGCTCATCAATTATAGAAACAAAATATTTAAAAATTTTTAAAGTAGCATGAAAAGGAATATGTGTGTCAGTTGTGATTGTCAACATTCTAAAACTAAATAAAAATAGATTTATTTTTCTAGAGGTCCTTACTGGTGTTTGCAACAGTCAAGTTGATTCTTTATGGCTCTCAAATGTTTGTTTTATTTTTGAAAGAAATAAGGCAGTATTGGAAAAGAGGAAAAATGATTTAAAAGGATATGAAAGATTATAGGTCTTTAAATTTGACCTAGTTTCTTTGGTTTAATTTGCAAGTGAAGTATCTGAGGGAAAAAAAAAGAACAGATGAAGAAGTATTTAATTGAAAAACACAACACAATCAAATGTGATTGGTATGCCCAACAATGAAGAATGTTATTTGGGGTCTGATGTGTCTAGACTTTGAAGATATAGCATTCCTTCTTACAAAATGATGCAATAACTTTTTTCACCTGCTTTCTTGATGTATAATTGACAAACATAATTGTGTGTATTTAAAATGTGCCAAGTGATGGTTTGATAAAGTGATGCAATAACTTTTAAGATAAAGTGATGCCCTGACTTCTAAGGGACACACTAACTAGGCATCAAAGTGATCTCAAACATTTTAACGAGTGTGAGGCTTCTTCCTGTGTCAGGGAATAATGAACTAATGAGTTGTGCCAAGTAAGTTGCCTGCCAAGTATGTATAATGGAAACATGACTAATACGAGGGTATACATGTGATTTATCACATGCTCTGACCAGGGTATATAAGCATCACTCTACATGTGCTGACATCCACACTCAGGTTCTCGCTTTCAACAGCAAACCGGACTCACGCCCTGACACCATGTGCCACTGCAGCAACTACTATGGAGGCCTGGGCTACGGCTGCGGAGGCTTTGGCGGCCTGGGCTTCGGCCGTGGCTGTGGATGCGGCAGCTTCCGCAGGCTGCGCTTTAGCTCTGGCTTTGGAGGCTACGGATGTGGCTCTGGATTTGGAAGCTTTGGATATGGCTACAATCGCTGCCCATCCTTCTTTGGAAGATATGGATTTTCTACCTTCTACTGAAATTCCACTCCAACATCTGAAGTTATAGGGGACTTTCCAAATCTGATCTCAAAAGTAAGATGACAAAGATCATTCTGGAGTTATTTGCACAGAAGCATCTAACTTCTTAGAATTTTGCACAATTTTTCCAATATACTTCTGTATCTCCATCATAATCCTAGAATCCTCTAATTTTGCTTTTGAAACTGATTGGATTATCTGTTAAATTTCAAATAAAACATCAAATTTGAAAATAAAATTTTGTTTTTGTCTTGTTCATGAAAGTCAATTATATGAAAGTTACGAAGTTTTCATCCTACTCAACTGTCAGTAAAGGATGGTATTGCCTTAGTTTAGAATAATTTTTTACTCACAAGCATCTGCACAGATAGAAAGATTGACAAAAGAACTAATTCTAGACTAAAATGAACAGGTTTTTCAATTAGTGATTCAATATTTTTCTATCTCTTGCTTTTATTTAGATAGTACTCAGATTTAAGTCAACAAAAGGCAATATTGATTAAATATAGTTTCAAATTTAACAAAAAATGTTTTATGTAATTTAGTTTACATTTCCCAATTTAGTCCAAATGTATAAAGAATCTTTCCATTTACTTAAAATGCATTAATATTTGGCTTATTGTAAGTGCAAACAAATGATACTAGATTAAACCATCACTAGGCTAATTAAGAAAGTAAACCACCTATCCAAAAATTTAATTCACCCTTTATATCACTCTGTTTTGCATATTATTTCATTTGATATTTTCACCAAGCACCTGATCTATAAGTAAATAAGAATTAGGGTAATATTTTTCATCAGTTCAGTTCAGTTCAGTCGCTCAGTTGTGTCTGACTCTTTGTGACCCCATGAGCCGCAGCACACCAGGCCCCTCCGTCCATCACCAATTCCCGGAGTTTACGCAAACTCATGTCCATTGAGTCGGTGATGCCATCCAGCCATCTCATTCTCTGTCGTCCTATTCTCCTCCTGCCCCCAATCCCTCCCAGCATCAGGGTCTTTTCTAATGAGTCAACTCTTCACATGAGGTGGTCAAAGTATTGGAGTTTCAGCTTCAGCATCAGTCCTTCCAATGAACACCCAGCACTGATCTCCTTCAGGATGGACTGGTTGGATCTCTTTGCAGTCCAAGGGACTCTCAGGAGCCTTCTCCAACACCACAGTTCAAAAGCATCAATTTTTTGGTGCCCAGCTTTCTTCCCAGTCCAACTCCCACATCCATACATGACCACTGGAAAAACCATAGCCTTAAGTAGATGGACCTTTGTTGGCAAAGTAACATCTCTGCTTTTTAATATGCTATCTAGGTTGGTCATAACTTTCCTTCCAAGGAGTAAGTGTCTTTTAATTTCATGGCTGCAATCACCATCTGCAGTGATTTTGAAACCAAAAAAAATCAAGTCTGATACTGTTTCCACTGTTTCCCATCTATTTCCCATGAAGTGATGGGACCAGATGCCATGATCTTAGTTTTCTGAATATTGAGCTTTAAGCCAACTTTTTCACTCTCTTCTTTCACTTTCATCAACAGGCTTTTTAATTCTTCTTCACTTTCTGCCATAAGGGTGGTGTCATCTGCATATCTGAGGTTATTGATATTTCTCCTGGCAATCTTGATTCTAGCTTGTGCTTCTTCCAGCCCAGTGTTTCTCATGATGTACTCTGCATATAAGTTAAACAAGCAAGGTGGCAATATACAGCCTTGACATACTCCTTTTCCTATTTGGAATCAGTCTGTTTTTCCATGTCCAGTTCTAACTGTTGCTTCCTGACCTGCATATATGTTTCTCAAGAGGCAGGTCAGGTGGTCTGGTATTCCCATCTCTTTCAGAATTTTCCACAGTTTATTGTGATCCTCACAGTCAAAGGCTTTTGCATAGTCAATAAAGCAGAAATAGTTGTTTTTCTGGAACTCTCTTGCTTTTTTGATGATCCAGCAGATGTTGGCAATTTGATCTCTGCTTCCTCTGCTCTATACAGTCAGCAAAAAACAAGACCGGGAGCTGATGTGGCTCAGATCATGAAATCTTTATTGCCAGATTCAGACTTAAATTGAAGAAAGTAGGGAAAACCACTAGCCCATTCAGGTATGACCTAAATCAAATTCTTTATGAATATACAGTGGAAGTGAGAAATAGATTTAAGGGACTAGATCTGATAGACAGAGTGCCTGATAAACTATGGACAGAGGTTTGTGACATTGTACAGGAGACAGGGATCAAGACCATCCCCATGGAAAAGAAATTCAAAAAGGCAAAATGGTTGTCTGAGGAGGCCTTACAAATAGCTGAGAAAAGAAGAGAAGCAAAAACCAAAGGAGAAAAGGAAAGATATTCCCATGTGAATGCAGAGTTCCAAAGAATAGCAGGAGAGATAAGAAAGTCTTCCTCAGCGATCAGTGCAAAGAAATAGAGGAAAACAACAGAATGGGAAAGACTAGAGATAATTAGTCTTTTTCAAGAAAGACTAGAGATACCAAGGGAAAATTTCATGCAAAGATGGGTTCAATAAAGGACAGAAATGGTATGGACCTAACAGAAGCAGAAGATACTAAGAAGAGGTGGCAAGAATACACAGAAGAACTGTACAAAAAAGATCTTCACAACCCAGATAATGACGATGGTGCGATCACTCACCTAGAGCCAGACATCCTGGGTTGTGAAGTCAAGTGGGTCTTACAAAGCATCACTATGAACAAAGCTAGTGGAAGTGATGGAATTCCAGTTGAACTATTTCAAATCCTAAAAGATGATGCTGTGAAAGTGGTGCAGTCAATATGCCAGCAAATTTGGAAAACTCAGCAGTGTCCACAGGACTGGGAAAGGTCAGTTTTCATGACAATCCTAAAGAAAGGCAATGCCAAGGAATGTTTTTCATAGGACTTATTTAACTAAAAATATTTTAAATAAGACATTTCTGTTAGCTTTCCTATATTATTACTGAATCCTCATGACTTGACATGATATTTTTCTTTTCTACTTTCATTATATTGACCGTTTTTTCAACCTAACAAGAAAAAGAAACAACATGATGTAACTGTGAACTAATTTATTTTTTAGCTAATCCTGATGACAAGCACAGATAAATCCAAAGAGTTTTGCTCTAAGTCTTAATTTCAGTTAAATCTGAATTTCTCCTTTTAAAACTGGGCAGAAGGGAACATTTTATTGATGAAATAAGAAAACTATGTAAACAAATACCAATTTTTGTCTGAAATCAAATGATGTATTCAGGTAATAATATAAACTTAAGATTTTTTTTAATTGTGGTATACTTGACATATAGCATTATATTGGTTTCAGGTGTACAACATAATGACTCAGTATTTGTGAGAGTGAAGTGAAAGTGAAAGTCACTCAGTCGAGTCTGTCTCTTTGTGACCCCATGCACTATACAGTCCATGGAATTCTCCAGGCCAGAATACTGGAGTGAGCAGCCTTTCCCTTCTCCAGGGGATCTTCCCAAGCCAAAGATCAAACCCAGGTCTCCCACATTGCAGGCAGATTATTTACCAGCTGAGCCGCAAGGGAAGACCAAGTATACTGGAGTGCATAGCCTATCCCTTCTCCAAGCGGATCTTCCCGACCCAAGAATCAAACCGGGGTCCCCTGCATTACAGGGGAATTCTTTACCAACTGATCTACATTATCTGTATACATTGCAAAATATACATCACAATCAGTCTAATTAGCATCCATCACCACACAGTCTCATTTTTTTCCTATGAGAACTTTTAACATTATTCTCTTAACTTTCAAATATGCGATATAGTGTGATTATTAACCATAATCATCATGATGTACAATGATTTACTTAGTTTGTAACTAAAAGTTTGTAGCTTTTGACTTCCTTCACCCATTTTTCCCACCCTATCTCCTTCTTTCTGTCAGCCACCAATTTGTTGTCTATATCTATGAAGGGATTTTTGTTTAAATTGATCAAATATATTTGATTCAGTCATACAGCAATCTCATAAACAAACATTAAATATCAGTAGTGCTTTGTAGCTCATCTTGCAGCTTCAAAAAAAAAAAAAAAAAAAAGACAGTGAAGCAATTGGTTTCTAAATTGTTATAACACCTCTAGTGATAGCATCAGGACTAAGGCCAAGATCTGAATGTTGGCGCCAGAAGGCAGTCTCCTTCTTCAGTGTATTTCCCTCAATCCATGCAGGTAAGCAGAGTATCTTGAAAGCTTTGCTCAGCTTCCCTGAGCTTAGCTGAATTTATGGGGGGTGTGAAAGAAGATTTTCTTAGATAGAATTACCATTTTTATATTTTATTATTGTAGAATACATAAAAAACTGAAATTCAATTTCAGTGCTAGCTTTAGGTATATTTTACCTATGTGTGTGCTTGCATGCTAAGTCACTTCAGTTGTGTCTGACTCTTTGTGACCCCATGGACTGTAGCCTGCCAAGGTCCTCTGTCCATGGGATTCTTGAGGCAAGAATATTGGAGTGTGCCACCATGCCCTCCTCCAGGGGATCTTCCAAATCCAGGGATTGAAACTGCAGCTCCTGCATTGCAGGTGGATTCTTTACTGCTGAGCCACTGGGGAAGCCCTAAATTTTGCCTATATCTATATGTATGTCTATTATATTTATATTTATATATATGTATGTATATACCTTTGTCTATAGAAGATGAAAGTCTTCATTTGAAAGGTACATACCATCTACATATAAAAAAACTTGCTCAGGCATGAGCTATCATCTATCCTTTCAGTAAATCCAGTCTGAATATTACAGAGTTTCAATATATAGAACAGATGAGATATTACACATTAATGACTCCCTTAGAGCACACTTAATCAGGTAATAGTTCCTAGTCTATGAACATGCCCTCCAGGGCTAA